GCCCCAAACACACTTTAAACAGGCAATCCGACTAGGAGACGACAGCAGACGCGCCACTAGTGTCTACTGCGAGCCATGTTCTGTAAAGTCTCGAGCCAAGCAAAAGTGAGTCACGTGGAATCCAGCCCGGAAGGCTAGACAGACCTGGTGGACTGAACAAGACCCACCTAAGTAAGCATTGACCTAGCATACGTAGCACGTATCCGAGCCAACGCAACTTATTCAGTGCTATCTGTTGTTTTAGGGAAATAGCATGATTATCACCACTTAGTACTCGCCTACGCAAATCATCGTTGCGGACACACCGACACCAGCAATGCTTTGCAGACAACAATGATCAAAGACTTGAAGGCGCCACAGATCTTCAGATCAAAGGGGTCAAGGCTCACTAGCATAGAGTAGAACGGTCCTCACTGTGGCCTTGTATACACGGCCTTTCAGACGAAGAGAAACTCCCTTCTGTCGCGGAAGATACCGCAGGTTCAAGAAGGCAGCCCTGGCCTTTGCCGTACGTGAGCTGACGTCAGTTTCTATGCACCCATCGTTGCTGATACAGCTGCCAAGATAACCGAATTGATCAACCACTTCGAGCTCCTTGTTAGCAAGGGTGAAGGAGTCATCAAGTGGCTAGTGGCCTTGCGGCAACACTTTGCACTTTGAAGGTACGTAGCACATACCAAATAAGGGGACCATGCTAGACAGGCTATTCTGGGTAAATTGTGCCACCGCAACATCGTCGAAAAGCAAGACAATATCGTCCGCATAATCTAGCTGATAGACTGTTGAGATCACATACATACATACAATCTTACACCAAGAAGCACTTCAACGCCTATATCGTGAGATTCCCCGACTGAACACTATATGATAAGATCCACGACGAAATTGTGCAGAAATGGGGAAATCGGACAACCCTGACGAGCGCCACTTGTGCTCGGAAAGCTATCCGATAGGCCGCCTCAGACCGTGACGCGGCCTGTAGTGTTCGAGTATAGAGCACGAAAAATGTTCATATATTTTGTGGGAACGCCTTTCCGCGCAAGTATTTCGTACAGAATCGATCGATCGACAGAATCGAACGCACTCTTGAAATAGAGGAACACAGCTATTGTCGGTCTGCGGTATGTGTGGCGCTGTTGTAACACCTTCCGCAAAGTGAATATATGGTCTATGCAGCCACGTCCTGGACGGGAACCTGCCTGCACTTCCCTTATCCGAGATTCGCGTTCCGCAATGAGGCAAGGGACGAGATTCGAAGTCCGTAATATTGTCACAACTGGAGGTACTCTAATGCCCTTGTGGTTAAAACAGTCAGTGCTACTGCCCTTCTGGTATATTGCCACTATAATCGATTCGCACCAATTAGCCGGGACACTTTCTTCCAGATACGTTCGAATAGGGAGGTCAGTGCCCTGCAGAGGACCTTACCGTCATCCTTAAACAGTGCAGATGGGAGGAAATCCGGGCCAGCGGCACGAAAACGATTGAGGGCTGTAATCGCGTTTTGGACCTCGGCCTCCGACGGAGGCTCTAAACTAACCGTCCATGGCACGTCCTGCATCACCTGAGTAGGAAGAAGTCCGGGAGCAGGGGACCAACTGAATTGATCTCCAAAGTGTTCCGCCAAACGAGCCATACGGCGCTCCTTATTATGTATCAGCGCGGGTGCGCTGTCTCTGGTTATCTCACTGACGTCTGGTTTCCTGGGACCAGTGGTGCGGATTAGCTGGCAGAGCTTCCGGTAATTGCTTACAGCTACTGCCTTCTCCATTTGTTGAGCCCGACTGGTCATCCAGGCTTCCTTGTCAGCACGTAGGCTCTGCTTTAGTTCACGCCTAATAGCCCGTCTGGTCACATTGTGTTCAGAGCCAGTCGGGAGGTGCATTCTAGATTCCAACAGGTTCACCGACCTCTAGGATATCCAGTGACTGGTGCGGTGACAATGGATAGTGCCAAAAGCAGATGCTTTTGCGTCGTGCATGGCGGCCGAGATCTTATTCCACTACGGCTCAGTGTCATCAGGACAAGACAGCGAAAGTTCGCTATGCAGTGCTTCTTGATAGGCTTGCCTGACCGAGGGCTGGGACAATTTCTCAGTTGCCAATCGGAGGAGACGCTTGGTGCGCCTCCCGGTAAAGTCCATGGAGAAACGACAGCGTACCAATGCATGATCAGAGTCGACACAGGTACTCCAGTACGAGCGGCAATCCAGGATGGAACCACGCCATCTGTCACTTATGGCTATGTGGTCAATTTGGGTCCATCGCTGACAGGCTACAGGAGGATGCCAAGTGGCACTTCGGCGCCCACTGTGTCTAAAAGCAGTGCTACTACGAAACAACTGGTGTACCGCACACAGTTGCAACAGACGCTCGCCGTTGTCAGTCCGTTCGGAGTTAAGCCCATAATTACCCCCCAGCTGAGCTTCTGAAGAGCTCAGACACCCTACTTGTGCGTTCATATCCCCTGCAAATACTGTGTCTGAACTAGGACCATTGCGAAATAGTGGGTTCAGTTCGTGAAGGAATGTGTTCTTGACAGCATTTGAAATGCAGTCGGTGGGAGCATAAACGGAAATCACAAACAAACATTGTTTTTTACTACTTCGTGAATCAACCTTAGTTGATGTCGTCAAACGGGCTGCACAAAAACCGCTGTTCACCGGAATCCAATCAACCAACGATGGCTCAGCCTTGGAGCTGAGAATGAGACCTACACCAGCTTGACCCGTGGGTGCTGCATCAGCGTCTCCGGATGCACGCAAGCAATAATGACAGGAAAAGCCTGGTGCAGTTATTCAACAACCCCATTAGGGTCATCAATCCTAGTTTCGGGCACACAACACATCAATACCCAGTGTGTCCAAGGTGCGTGCGAGTGCAGCCTGTTGACCTGTTTGTATTAGAGTGCGAACGTTGAACATCGCCATGGGAACGGGAGTGTGGCCTTATAAGGCAGTTTTGCCGATAGGGGTCCGATAGGTGCTGTGGGATGGTAGCTGCAGATGGTTTTACTCCAGGGACAATTCGGTTGATATCAATTAAGCTTGGAATTATAGAAAAAAGGTTAGTAATGGGGTAGGGATTGGAGTAAGAGACAGGTAGAAAATAAAGAAGAGGCGCCAGCAGTAGCATGTGTTCGCTTATCTGCCCTACTGCATGCAGCAGTGATTCTTGATAATCTGGACGACGGCCAATGCAGGATGAAGTTTATGTTTGAAGAAATAGTCATGGTTGTATGTGGGTTGATACTGCCAGGGCGCCCAGACCTAGACAGGAGGACGATTAGGGTCATCATCAAAAAAGCCTGATTGCAAGGCAGCGGGGAGGTGACAATGACTTAGTTTTACAGAAATGGACGTTAACCCATTTCAAACCCCCAACCTGGAGGACCAGGAAACTGAGCGTCTGACCTGTCGCCATGGCGAAGCACTCTAAAGGACAAGAGGTAAGCAACTAGTTTCATGGATGTCAGTAAAGTACCAACTACCCGAAACAATTTTAGCATAAGCAGTGAAAACAAAGCTTTTGGGAAAACTAGTGTATCCTGGTACATCCTTCTCGTTCACGTGGCAAGCCTCATGAGTAACCGCTCCAGTACAGAACGATTAATTGGTGCCGCTAACTTAGCTACAGAATAATACCTGACTTTGTGTTAATGTGGGAAGGTCAACTTTGGTTTTCAATTAACGTTGCTTACAAAGTTGGAAAGTCAAATACCAGCTAAAGCATCTAGACTTCGGAAGCAACCTACTCCGATAGATGGAAATAAATTGAAAAGCAAAACAGATGAGTTAACACCCGGTTAAGTTGAAGTTATTTGTCGGTAAGCAGTAGTTCTAATGCATGTCAAAATTTCATTCGGACTCGTCATAAGCGTGCATATCAAAATATCGATCAAAAGATATTGCCACTAGGTTATGAGATCTAGTCCTGATTCTGTCACATCAAGGCTTAATTTCAACAAGAAAATGACTACGGTTGACAGTCAAGCGAGTTCTAAAAGTTGCACAACAAAACCGTTGCGAGATTAGAAAAATTGCATTTTTCAACCAGAGTAGCTGTGATAAAGCCGATGCTTGTTGACTCACTGTGTAAAAATTTCACTCTCATCGACGATGATTCGTAGCGACTAGCGTCAAGAAAAACATCGACACGGATCGACAAGCTGAGCTCTCCTCTGATTCCTGCAAAATGAAATCGGCCTAAGTCGTAGCAAACCATGCATAGTATCATAGATAGGAAACCAGCCATCAAGTGCTCGAGTTTTTCCACGATTAAGTAGGGGATTCAAGTCAAAATAGACGCGCCCAATAGTGTCGTGTGCGCTATAAGTATCATGATCCATAACCCTTCAAATTAAGCAAGGAGAGAATGTTTACTTTAAAATAAGAGCCTCTTCTTGAAGTGTACGGTCATCTAACTTTATTAGTTTACAAACGTATATCTAGGATAATAAAAAAGTAACCTCGAAGCAGAACCAGTCGCTATTCCATGAAGGATTCAATGAACGGCGAATGACATCAGTTCTATAGCTTGTAGTTCCTATACATATCTTAATACGAACATAAACAAAAAGTAAGTTACTTCAACAAAAGCATCAGTTAGCAACGTCGACCTATCCATCACAGGCAGGCCTCTGGCAGACAAAACTTTCACTCTGACACTGCCAGGCATAAGGAAAGAATAACCTTGAAATTTGAAATTGCGTGAAGGTCATCCTTTGAAACATTTTGGTGTCATCAACAAACTACACACCACAAACAACTGTAAGAATGTGCTGTAGAAAGATTGTATTAATATCGGATACAAAGTGGCACTAAGATGACAGGCATATTTTTTGAATGGTGATTGGTCGGCTGAATTGACATATTCCAGGCGGGGTATAAAGGTTGCGATAAAGTTCGCCTGGGTCTTTGGGTTTTAGAGCGGAGGTTGGGAGTCATGTGTACTCCGTCACTCCTAATACATTGCGTGGTTAGTGCAAATCGCTGTGAGACAGTTTTCCACAAGGACTACAACATTCGTAGCAAAAGCCGCAAATCCTTGCTCTCTAAGCAAATAGGTTTCCTGTAATCTTTTGAAACATCCCACGGTTTGTGCGCCAACGAGCGGCTCAGTGAGTCACGAGGAGACGCTTCAGGATGAATCCATCGGCCAATAGAGAGCGCGTGCTTCTCAGCCTTAAGTGGTTCACCCATAGAATGATACGATCTTTTGAGGAAAAACTAGCACATGCTGTCTCTGGCTTGTCTCATTCAAGGACATACCTTTCGGCCCACATCTCGCCAAATCCCACCCCACCATCTGCTGTCTCTCGGCAGCATATCTGTAACACCGATGAAACTAACGAAATTCCATTACTCAACCAGCTATTAGAGCAGCAACATCGCATGCGGAAACGATTGTCCTTTGAAAGTGAGTCCTCAAATCGAGGTGAAATAAATTGTTCTTTACCATATTGCACTGCATCAGATAGATCTCCTCTAATGAAAATCCGCTCAGTTACTAACTCTCCACTCTTTCGTCGCTTGTCGCTCACTCATCAAGCTTATAAGAGAAAGATATTAGGAAGCTTTAGTTCTCAGGATCAAGTTCGTTTCGATTCGCCTAGCAACGGGGTTGACCAGCACGAATCTTTGGACGGAGCGGCAGCCTATATGAACAACAAGTGCTCGTCGACCCCACAAACACCATCCGAGTTCGCTTCTGTTCGTAAGCTCCTCGTGAATGCTCGCTGTCCACTGTGTTATTTTCATAGCTCAACAACGGAGCCGAACCGAAGACTGATGATAAAAGCGTTTGCCCAACAGTTATGTATCATATATGAATATCAGCTGAGCATGCTACGAGGGCTCAACGCCATCCACGCAGCTGCAGATTACGTGGTAGATGTGTTGCTCAAATCGATCAAACTTGGAAAGTCTATGACGAAAACTGGAGATTTATTTTCTCTCTCCATTCTTTTCGATATTTCCTGCCGCCCCAGAACATACTACAAGTGCGTTAAAACATGTCCACTAGCTGTTACTAATGAGCAGTTAAATTGGCGGCTGGGTGAAATATGGACCATGCCGGGGTTGAGGTATAATGAAGTTGGTGGAGAGAACTGTCACAATTTGAGTATTGTTACCCACTTTTTGTCGGCTGAGGCATCCGGTGGTGATTCCTGCAGATCTGATATATATGGGTATCGCAACATTATACTCACACCAGTGCGTCTCTTAATGGATAACGATGCGAAAAATGATAGTGATTGCGACCGCCACGAAGGTGATAACCAAGAAAACATTCGTAACCAATATTCCCATTCTAAGATGGCCCATTCATACTTCGACCTGGAGCAAAATGATTACTTTACCATAATTAGTAGTAAAACGCAATATGAGGAAAGAACGAGTTCAGATGAAATTGAAAAAAGTGCAAATGGCTTTCCGCAACCACCCGCCCGCACTGAGCTCGTCAATGTGAACGCAGATGTTCCTTCACAACAAAGAAGACGTAAAATATCCACTCCTAATGGGGGTTGCACCATCAGACAGCATCTTCATCGGGCATATCGTCCAGTATTTTTTGTGATTTTTAACCGCCCAAGTGTGATTGAACACTTGACTGAATGCGACTCATTTGCAGCATTTTGCAAGCGTCAGGCTCTTAGTCCCGTTATGTACCTAAATCAGCCCACAACTGTTTTCGACAACAAGCCATATCCATGCATTTACCAGAATTTCGACCTGTTTAGCGTTACTGTATCCGGATATTCCAGCAGTCTCTCAGGACCTGTACCGTTTTCCGACGTTGTTGCACGACAACATATTACAAACCAATTTCCCTCAAGCATTCGTGAAGAGATACATCCAGCGCTAGTAAATATTCCCAGAAACTTTCAACAGGGTTCGTGCGCTTATGATAATCCTGGATTCGCTCGCTGATCCAGTATCTCCTATCTGTATACCGCTGAGTTTCAATATTTTTATACAATATTTATTCAATGCTTTTCCTGTACAGTTAGCTGGTTAATTTGAGATGCTTAAATTCCTTGGGTGTAGCGGGTAATTTGCTTTATGTTATGATGCAGTAAAACCTTTTGGACGTCTGTTGCGCATATCGTGCGATTTCTGCATATTTAAAAGAGAGCTCATTTACTAAGGTTGTTGTTTGGTAAAAGTAGAGATCATTGACTCTTGATGAGTTCTGCGTTCCATTGAACAGTGAAGCATCATTACTTGTTCAGTAAAATTTTCGACTTGCGACTAACTATTAAGCTGAGCAAAATTTCGGATATACGAAACTAATTTCCTGCGTCTCAGCTATTAACCTACCCCTAAATTTTGATGGTCTGAGTTAACTGCGGTCGTACTCAATTACTCGCTGTGTTCTAGTTACTCAGTTACAGTTGACCAATACTAACCCCATGCTCTGCAGTCAGAGTGCTGGCACCCATGCGTTGGCTATGGCAATCCTACGTCTTTGAGTGGACTCACGCCGTGTAGACCCGTCACGGTATACCCTTAACTAGTTAGTTCTTTTGGGTGTCCTCCTTGCAACAGATTTCGCTGCAAATCTGTCCTCCTTACCTGCGTTTATTCAACAAGATCACGGTGAGCCGAATTCGTGGAGTCCATCTAAACAAGCACATTCGCCTCGTCATCGTTAGCAGTATGGGTCAAATCAAATGCACCTTATAATTTGCAATAGGTGCCCAAGGCATCTGAATTGCCGGTTTTGAACCAAATCTCTTTTAAAGGAGACATATTAACTGGCATGAGCTGCGACTGCAATTCCCGACCTACGTAAGTGGTCAGATGAACACTGCGCCTTATTGAATCTGGACGGTCATCTAATTACTGATCTATTTGTCACCGCACTTTCCGTTCGGCTGTACTTTGTAAGAACAAAGGGGTCTGTTCACTCTGGACAAGATTATGATCAATGCGCCGTGATACTGATCTGTACTCGTAAAATAAATCTGGAGTAGTCGGTATGATGTATAACACAGCCGCGTTCAGTTATCTACCAGACAACTAGAAAATGACTGATCGACGCAGTCCACCCGTTAACACAATTTGAAACCTCGTTTTGGACAGTAAAAGCATTTGCTATCTGAGTAGAGGAACGAGCTTCTATTCTCTTGCACATCGCAACGCTTGTTCAGCAGTCATTTGTTCAGTATGCAGCGCCTCGGTGATTTCCCACTCGCTTATGATGACTTCATAAATTTGAATAAATGGGTACTATTTGCGTACTTTCAATTTTGAGTCTCATCTGTACCACTGTGATTAAGCTTTAGTGTTTATCCCGGCTCACAGTGACGCCTTCGCCCTTACTGAATCCGTTAATGCTGCAGGCGTTTCAGTAATATGCAGCTATTTTTCTGATCCCCCATCATCCCAATAACTTTGGGGTCAAAGTAATCCAACCAATTCTGAATATCGATCCATCCAGCACCGCTTGGAAGAAAATCGGAAGCTTGACACTTGTAATAAAAAGCGCGTTCTTATTATTGGTACATTTCGGAGCTGCTTTCTTCCTACTCTGCACTCCATAACTGCCTTCGTCTCGATGCAAACTCCTCAGGTGGAGATAACCAAGGCTATCTCTGTCTCAGCTCCACTGAGTTGCTTGTGGATTCCGTTGGCCTGCACCGGCTGTCTTTCTTCGAGTGCAGTTGCTTTCGGTCCATTGCCCGTGTGGGGTGACTGCGCTACGCAACCATTGTAGAGGTTAGGCGGCATGTCTTAGGTAGAGGCCACCACTTCCTCGAGGAGCTCATCTCGCTTCGTCAATTGCGGTGGCTTAAACGCGTATTGCGCATGCCTGCTGAGCGTCTTCCGCGTGATGCATTGTTCGCGGATTTTAGGTAGGGTTGGAGGAGATGGTGCGGTGGACAGCCTACGACTTGGATATACTACATGAAAAAGCTGACGATACAGTTTGGTTCGGTCGGTTGTTCCCGCTTCCTTGGTAACGGTCTCAAAGATATGGGGTGTTGCTGGTTGCAGACCCTGGAAATCATGTTGCAAGAGCTACATCAGTGGCAGATGTGAGTCTTTGTGTGTTGCGGTGATTCACTTTCCCTTCCGTAATAAGACAAACTGTAAGCATAATCAAAAACTGTGTGGAAAACTGGACAAAGCTAGCTGTCTGATATATATATATATATATATATATATATATATATATATATATATATATATATAAGGGTTAACGGCTCACGCCTTGGTCACTAATCCAAAGCTCCTCAAACAATGCTTGATAGATATTAAAAGTTCATTTTTGTTCGTACGAATACTACCCTGTGCGTGGATTGCCACGCGAAATCTCAATCGAGGCCAAGGTTGGCCTTGACTCAAAATACTGTCATTCCGATCAGTGGGATGGCATTCGAAGTGATGAGTTTTTGAGCTGTTCTCTCTATACACTGCGCCTCCAAACCGGTTCCATGCTATTGTTGACTCTTCAGATACGGTATGTTAATCCATGCACATGGTGTGTATTCGAAAACCCAAAATGGACCTTATCTTGTTACCTGTCGCTTCCAGTGGATCTGGGTGGGCAACTCTCCACAGTATTTCACCAAGTCCTTTTACAAATATCTATTTTCAACTATTTGTGATGGCTCAATGGACTCCATATCACCCTCGCATCCTTATCGGTCACATGCATCTTCTGAGAAGCTTTACTAATATCCGAATGTTTGTCCCTCAGCTAGTACCGTATGACTACTCTATATACTTCTGCACTCTAGGTGTGCGGAAGTTTGATGACGGTAAACTGCCCTTAGGTTTCTTAGTTTCCATGGCGCGCTACCAACCTTCCACACTGAGACACTGAAGACTTCTCCGGAGACTCAAAATTAATTGTCGTCCGTAAGGCTTGGTTGGCTAAAACGAAAAACATTGCTTTATACCAGTCGGCAATAGCTTATCAGTTGGTGATCTCAGTTTGTTTTTCAGAAAGAAACGGGTCTATGGTAGCCGAATGAAAGGTCATCTAACGTAACATGTGCTATGTGCTATCAGAAGATACCATGTAGCATTTATGAGAGAGGTCTATCGTATTAAAAGCTTTTGCTTGTAATTCCCGGTACCATGGAGTCCAGGCCACATACCTGGTTTTGCGGTCACGCATGCGCAGGTAATTGGGTCAGCGTGACTCAGTAGAGCAATGAGGTAAAATGAGTTTAAGAATATTCCTTATTGTACCGTGGATTGCTACTGAGATGCCTCTCCATATATGACCTAGACAAATTGCAATAGTGAAAACAAAAGGGGCATTTTGCAAACACAGTCCATGACAGTAACCACGGCTATTTCAGCAATTTAAGCATTAATCAGGGCGGTCTAACACAACAGAGCTACACCACACTAGGATTAGCACATATATTACTCCGTGTCGTTTGGTGTGATATGCATGAAACAGCTGTTTCTCCCTTTGTCTAGGGTATCTGAACCGCGACCATGAAACCCGACCAGGTCTTTATGTGGAAGTTCAAACAACTCGTGGTTAACAAACTCGTCAGCAACAGAGTGAGCGCAATGGACATTTTAACCACAAGCTATCAGAATCCACTAACTATTGGGAATGCAACCTAAGTGACAAATCTGTGTCTTTCGCCTTAACTGACTGTAAGTGATGATCAAGCAACGTTTTAGCAGCACTACATCATTGTCAATTTGTTTTGATATAGAGAAGAACAAACGGATACCCGACAGACTTTGATCTACTTAAAAAGGAACCTACAGAGTTATCTGAAACAGTATTAGGTGCTAACTTTGTCCCAGTTAGGAGCACTGCGTATAAGCCGGTTGAAATTTAGCTACCTATTTCACTGCAACCAGAAAGCTGTTCTCCCCCCCCCCCCAACGCGGGGGAGTAAGACAGCAAGCAATCCACAGTATGGCTGAACGTCTTTGATAAAAGGAAACAGTGCCAAAGAGGAGAGAACATGGCGATGAAACGTGAACACCGGAATCCTACCTGCATGATTGAGACTTAACACAGACTCATTGACAACCCATACGTTTCCCCTCTCAGGTTTCGCCAAATTTGCGGTGTTTACGTATTATGCGTTATCGGGCAAACAATGTGGATACTTGAAGCAGGTTGTTTATCCGTCGGTAGAAATTTTCCCACCACTGCTAGCTTATAGTTCTAATGTAATGCATTTTGAGGCAACTTTTCAGATTGTAGGTCGGAAATATTGTAATGGCAGCTTGCGATCTATTGACGCTTTTTACTGGCGCTTTTACTGGGAGAATATCTAACCGAAATTTAATCAAACGACTGTATAAAATTCAACCACAGTCGGAAATCGCCAGAACAAGCAATGACTAAATTTAACGTTGTAAAAGTGTGAACAGACCGAGTGCCTACTTCATCAAGATGCGTAATGAAGTAGTAGGTTTGGCGTAGATTACACAGTAGGCGCACTAAAACAATGTGATATCTGAGTTATTACAAACTTTTGTCGTTTTTCTGCTTATCCCAACCTCTGACTTTTGCCTTCAATAGCGACACTCATAAACGATAATACAATGTCATATCATCGAGCCAATTCCAACTAATGAATTAAGTTTTGTTAATTACTCACGGGTAGCCAAGAAGCATTAACTTGGTTGGTTGGTTGGTTGGACGAATCTCCAGAGTTATTGCAGCGCTCGACCAGCCAGGATGCTGGTATAATACGCCGAGGGGTGTGGTAACCAATGCTCTAACTGGACCTGGAATAACTCAAGATGCCGTTGTCCAACTGCAATATGTAAACGAAATTGGAATACCTCCAATGACTACCATGATGGAACTCGAACAAATGTGTGAAAAATCTATAGCCCACTATCCGGCAGTTTGTCTTCCCATTACGGTGGTTTGCTTTGACTTATTCATGACTCGCTTGCACTTATAATTACAAATTGAATGGTATTTGAAAAATTGATTAATGTGATACTTCTGAGATCAGTGCGGGATTTCAAATCCAGCCACCTGACCCACATCATGTGCTGCACTGGCAGAAGTCGAAAACCAGTTTCCAAATCGTGGCGATGAGATCATCGCAGTTAAGTGAATCGCTCGTTTAAAAGTTGCGATTTATGCCGTCATAATCTAGGCGTCATCCATTTTTGTAGGTGAGATATGATGAGCACATGAGTTGTTTCAACTAAAGGATTCGGAAAAACATTGCAGTATAACTACATGGCATGGTATTTTTCATTGTTACGTGGCGGCATCTTATTAGATTTTGTGTTCACCTTTTCACTTTGATGGTGTCCAACAATCCTACTTGCCATTGGTAAGCTATGTTTCAAGTGTATCTGGTGCGGATTTTATTAGGCTGCGTGTTGTTCTTCGATGGAAATTGTTTAGAATGGCGGTGACCGAGTCAGAGCTTCTGTCTAGTGCCCTAAAGATTTCCTGTTGTCGACCGGAGTGCTGTGTATAATATGCTAAATTCCAAAATCATAGTTTTATTGTGTAACTATAGAATTTCGCGGTTCACCTGTTTGAATATTACTCACCTTTGTTCTAATCAGCACACGCATTCGTCTAGCCGACAAAGACGCGATCTGTCACTCGAGACCATCTTCACAACTTTAACTCGCTCAAATGTCCCCTAGCTAGATCTCTTCGTGGTGCCTTCTTTTTAGCCTTAGCTGGTTTATCGCCCTCTTTACTAAACCTTTCCGCAGCCTATATTTATGTGTTCTTCAGTCTATCTACTGATGGCCATATATTAATGCATCGAATATATAGCGCACGACCTCCGATCTATACCTACAGAACACAAGATAGGAAATGAAGTATGCGAGTTCACTTGACCCACTTTCTTATGGTGTTGTCGTTGCTCCTGCCCACTAACCGCCTAGGAAGTATGAGTCGGTGCCCTGGCATTCTACAAAAACCAGTGGTACGCGGACAACCTCCATTAGACGCTAAAGGGTCGCTCGGTTACGGATGATAAATCGCTGTTGAAGACCTCCCATTAAATGTTTCGGTGAAATGTCACTTATTCTAAGAACAAGGTAAGACCAAAAGAATCACAATTTTCATTGAATTTGAAGGAGTCGAGACCCCAGTTCTGTACTCTATTAAGAGACCGTAGCAGGGACCACCAGGGAGAAATGATGGTCCTTACTATTTTCCGTGCAGTGGGAGCGTCTGCAAGCCTTAGCAAGTTAATCTTTGTCCACATTGCGGGAATATCCATCACCCAATGGCGTTGCCTATAAATACACCACTTGCAAATCCAAGGTAACGCTGTATTGATGACCGAATTTCCCCGAGCGTGTGTTGTCTGTTTGCATTGTATTGCTCTCTGTTGATACAGCATGATCGAATCATCCAGACCAAGCGCACTTAGTGATGTTTTGTAATCATGCAATTTTAGACAGATCCACTTAGGTGATAGTTGCGCAATCCATTGAGCACGTTAATACACAGCTGAACTGTCGCATATTATTTTGCCAAAATCATCAGCAGCATAAACGATACGTACTGATTTTATCAGCTGTTTTTGAACTTTTCTTATTACTTAGTGATGTGTCAACGGAGAACGAGGATACCTGTATAGTTTTAGGTGATAAATCTAAGTCAAATTTTATAGTCAAATGGAGCTATTTCGGTGCTCCATTTTAGGAAACTTCAGCTGAATAATTCTGATGCATGAGCTGAGCGCACGGTGGACCGGTCGTTGTGTCCAAAAGGTTCGTAACTTGTTAGATTTCAGTGACGTAGCTAGTCTTTTAGCCAATAGGGTTAAAAAATACCTTGGTGGTCTTCAGTGCAACTGAAACGCTGCTCACAAAAAAGCGCATACGCCGCTTATAACACGAGGGCTTATAGAGTTCTATACTCCATACCTTCGTACATCAAGTTTGGGTGCAAATCTATGTAGTTGTTATTTTATCGGCCTTCATTTGCAGTATGTCGCTTCAACCAAACCGATTGAACATCTTACTTTTCGTGTTATCACTTAACGTTTATTTATCATTAGCATGTGTAAAATATCTGCGGCATAGGAACACCGTGTACAAGTTTCTCGCGACCGGATGCGTGCAGCAATACGGCATAAAATCCACCCGTTTACTACTAGATGACATTTCACGAGGCAATTCCGACTTATACCATCAATAAACTAATGTGAGCCTTTAAGTATTAGATTATTTGACGCACACGTAAGGTTTTTATACCGTTCAGTTAGCTCTTAAACCTACTCAAGTTGGTTGGACTCGCTGCGTGCCGTTATCAGTCCTTATACTCTCACTGCCAGGTGGATACGCGTGCTATGAAAATTGGAATCCAATCACAGCAGTGTCATCCGTTTACTCCTCCCTGAAATTGTGGGAATTCGTTTCTGCAGACGACTCTTCTCAGTCTTGGAAAGTCAAACGACTATGTCAAGAATAATTATTTTGTATTCTGCGTCGTTCTGCTTGGAAGCAATTTGTTTGCTTCAGCCTATTCTGAACACACACTTTGGGATCTAGCTTCATGCGTGTTGGTGAGGCCGTTACATCCTTGATAGTGTTGGTGTACTGTTCTGTGCAGTTTTCCTTCTGTGAATGAGCAAATGCTTCAAAAAAGAACTACTGGGTAGGTAGTTGTACTAGCATGGATGAAACGCTATTCGTAACATATTACCCCAGTGTGTTTTGATTCAAAGTAATGCTGGCTGTGGCAGCCTGTAACAGCCTGTGAAATTCTGGTTGGCATGAGTTTACCAGATTTTGCACTTTACTTTGTGTTTGGACAATCGCTGCAGCATGCTGAACTGCATACTTAGCTTGTTCGTCTGAAGCGTGAGCCCCGCACGTATGGTGCCATGATTTTAGCTCCCACACTGGTGTTGAAACCGCTACACGACGGTCTATCCCTGACCAGTGTCATGTGATGAGCCAGCACACCGGACCGCTGTACTTCACGCCAATAAACATTGGTCCCAGTACTTGGGATCCTTTTGTTCACCTCTGGCTGGCGATGATCTGTGGTACCTGGAAGCATACATCAAGTCTATTTGAGCAGTCACTGCAACTCCGTAAATGGCACCAAGTATTCAGATAGCAAATCAAAGTAATTCTTCAAAAACGCCTGTATTTAGGACACCGGGTATCGAGGAAGAGCAAATGTGTTTGGAGAATGTTCGCTCCACAATTACAGATAAACACAGATATCCAGTACTACCTAGTTTAACTGGTTGCTCACAGAAACTAAGCTATAAAGTCTTCTGGGATAGTCTGAAAATGTTTGCTGTCTAGCAAATATAAGGAGAACAAAATAACGCATTTACTGAGATACCTCAGTCACTAACTGAGTTTCCCCGGCGCTCATTTGAAGGGCAGACAATTTGTTTACCATCCCACCCAGTGACTAAATCCGCTGGGTGTGCCCTCCGGACATCAAATGTAGCAGGGCGTTCACAAGCACCCTACTCAAATTCCACAGCTATTTCTTTTTTGCGTTTTAATACATATGCATGACAAAAGCAGTTACATTTACGGTTTTAAGTGACTTGTTCGACCCAAACTTACTCGGTTATGATACTGGAAGTACTTGCATATGTCCGTAGAAATTCAATGCTGTGGGGTTTTAGTTAAGGCTGCACGTTTACATGGAATCAATGGGTAATATGTTAGGAGCACGTGGGTGAAGGCGAATGGATTCATCAGTGCAGTCTCCCACTAATGAGTTGTTCCACCACTCCAAAATTAGCTAGGCACGACAATATTGGCAAATTCACCCATCTCTCAGTTAAAATTCCGCGAAACCTACATCGGCGCACCATCTGTCATGATTATGTTGTTTTTGGGAGGAATCTGTGATTGAGACTGCGTAGATAATCAACGGAGAGTTCTTATTTCTGCTACTAGTCACTGGGGCTGCATTACAATGCACAGATAAAAACTGGCCTCCCCTACTATCTAACGCAGTAGTTTACGAAATCTCATTCGGAAATTCCATCAATTTAAAGTGGTCAGGATTTTGCCCCATTTTATCTTCAAGCTTAAAAAGCATAAATTTGTCATTAATAATAACGGCGAGAGATCAGTATTGTGGCCATATCTCAGCTGGGCAACTATCTTTCTTTACCGGTGTTAAAGGTCAAAAATCCACTTATGTGTTGAAGGAAAGTAAGAACCCCACATCATTAATATGGGTCTTGGTGAAATTTTTATTTTCGGCATATCATAAATTCATATAATGACTGTTCTTGTGAGATGCGTGTATTCTAACAAGATTGAGGTAATCGGACGTACTTGTTTCACGCAGAGTAACAGTATTGTGACCGCATCCATCCTGTCACTCTCTATTCCTCCATCCTCCGGAATATCGAACGGTTGCTGAGGATAGCATTCCTCCTATCGATATGGTATGATTTCGCGACCAGGACGATCCATTCTATTTTATTCGACTTAAGAAAGTAGCAACACTTTGACAACGTCCAAATGGGCATTTGTTAACAGGCACCCAAATTTAGGTTTGTGTCTCAAGTACTGATAGTATGCAAGACCACGATAGATTTAAAAAAAACTACGCTATTACTGTCCTTGAAAGCATGAGCCCAGACACTTGGGGATTTATGTCACAAGTTGAACCTTTACTTCTATCTGACTAGTACGATCACGGGGACAACACAATTTGGATTGAGCGAAGGTGCTTAATACTGTTTCCTTTACAAGTAAAGCAGGAAAGCTGCAGTTGTACCGCTGCGGATCAGATGAAAACAAGCAGTTTGCTTTAGTTGTACCGATCTGCTGCTGTTTGATGACGATTCGCTGAACAAGCACTTCGACTGTATGTGTATAGCACGCAGATCGTGCGCTATATA